AATAGAAGCTCTTGTCTATTAAGAAGGAAAACTTGAAGGACAAAATAGAGCAGAGTTAAATTGAAACCAAAGAAAAAAAAGAAAAGAGAACCAAAAAGAAGGAGAAGGAGGGAACGAAGATACAGGTAATAGTATAAGAAACAACATATATACTAGAAACAGAGAGAGAGAAAGTATAAAGATAGGAACACATAATATCAATGGGATAAAAGGAAATAATATGAAAGTAGAATAGCTAGCGGAGTTTGATAAGTCTGAAGGGTATAATATAATTAGGATTATTGAAACTAATATAGAAGAACTAGAAGACAAATGGATAAATACAAGAGAGTACAGATACTCAAGCTTTTGAACTGAATCAGAAAAAAGTAAAAAAAAAGGGTCAGGAATCAGACTACTAGTTGATCAAAATTAGATGAAAAATCTAGGAGCATGTAGAAGATATAGTCCATACTTGCTCAAAGCTTAATTCTACTTTAGAAGAGTAATTCTGCAAGTCTGAATAGTGTATCTTCCACTCAAAAATTCAGAAGTAACAAAAAAGGTACACAAAATCTTAATAGAAGAAATCATTAAGAATAAAAAGAATATGCACTATATAGTTTTAGGAGATTTCAATACAGTGCTAAATGAAAAACTAGATATGAGCAGAGAAGGAAAAAGGAATACAGATTGTGAAACAAAAATCACGAACTGGCTCAAAAATACTGACCATGTTAAAGTTTTCTGTCTCTATAACTCAGAGCTAACTAAGTACTCATGATCAAATAGTAAAGCATCAACTAGAATAGATTATATATGGACAACACAAGATATAAAAAGCTTTATTTTTTTTATTTTATTTTATTTTTTTTTTAATTTATACAAATGCTATTGGCTTAACTTTTATTAATTTCATAAATTTCAGAGGTAATACATATTGTGAGAGTACAACTAGCTACACGTACAATTTTAGGTTGTCTATTTTAAGTAGTCCACTCGAAGGTTCTACACTAGCTGCCATATCTAGAATCTCTTAGAAGATTCCCTATTTAAACTCTCTGGCTCTATCTCACTTACTGAAAGTACTACTCTTTAAGTTAAACTATAAGCCCATGCTACTTCACTTTGGAAGGCACCCAAGCTGACATTAGTCGCAAACTTTACTGTTATGAGCCTAGATCTTACTCGAATAAGTCCTATTACAACGCCTCCTAACAGATGGGTATCACAATACCCAATTATGCTATGCTATATCCCAATCTAGCTTGCATATACCCTTATTCGATGTTCGTACAAACCCAGTTTCTTCTGTGACTATCCACTGGATCAGACTTCTTTGTATTTCCGAATGTTTCACAAAGCAGATCCTTCTAATCTAGTTAGCCACCAAGCCAAGTTGGTGTTGCCATAACGCCCAGTGTCACAGACTTACTTGCACCTACTCGATCTACATCTTTGTACTCAGAGATCTTCACCGGATCAGGCGTTAACTGGTATGACTGTTAAAATCCGTACTACTTCACCTAACTCAGAATTTCTACCATGCAGGTCCTCTGCCCATAGATCCTATCTCGATTTATTTATGTAATGCAACTCCAATATTCCATCACACTTCCAATGTCTGAACAACATTAGTGCAACGTGATTTACAGGGTTACAACCCCAGAAACGAACAAAGTTTATCATAAGTTAGATACAGATGTCTAGGTAATTATTCAATTCTGTCGACAGTGAGATTTGAACCCTAGACCTCTTGCATGGTAGTCCGACAACCTAACCACTTTACTAGATTACCAGACCTATACTTCTGTATCTAAAATTGATGATTTTAATATAGTACGTTTAGGTAGATTATAACTAGGGTTTAATAGCTTAGTATAATCTTCAAAGAAAGGATTGTCAAAGGCTAAAAATAAAATACCTGAACATATAATTCATTTAATTAATATTTGGTTAGCTCTTGTTTCTTTAGCCTTATCAATAGCTTCTTTTGTATCATAATAGGTATCCAGATACAACTGAGAGTAATCTAATTTTCTTTTTTTGGAGGTAGCAGATTTAGAAAATTTACTTTAAAGATCTTGAAGTACTCTAATTCGAACCTCTCTGGGTACTCTTCTTCTATATTTCATTGCAAGATGAGATTTTATTTTTTGAGCTCTTCCCTTAACCTATATATAAGAACAATACCTACAACTTGTACTCTTATACTTTTCTAATCTATTATTTATAGTGTTAAACTCATCTTATATATTTAATAGAGGCCATTCAGTATTATTTAATAATTCAGTTTGTATAGATAATTCACTTTTATTAATTAAAAAAGAGTCATATGAAGTTTTATTGCTATTCATAATTTCATTATTTGTAATATTTTCTATTTTAGCAAATATTAAAAGAAAAAAAAAATAGGAAAAAATATAAAAAAAATATATATATATAAAAAATATATATTTGAAAAAAAAGCTGAAATAATTCTTTAAGATGGTGCTTATAGCCAAAAACAAGTGACTCTTGGTAAGTTAATTGAGTTGAAAAAAAATATTTTTATGATAGTTTATATCTAGATAATATTATATACAATATACCTATTATATATAGTGCTACAATTTAAAAAAACAGTATATCTATTTATTACAAGATTTTTTAAAGTTTTTATATACAGCAAATTTTAATGCTGAAAAATTAATAGAAGTATTAGAAAATATTAGGCCTGAAAAATTTATAGCAATAGTTTCTAATGCTGAAATGTTGATGATAGCAGCAAAAAGACAAGTTATAGAAAAATATTTACATATTTTATCAATAAGATACATTATATATTATATCCAGCTTATCTCTAACAGTATTTGTAAATTACCTTATATAAAAAGAATTTTGTCTAATTATCAAATGATCATAAGTTTTTTTAGAAATTTTTACTCTGCTAATACTATTCTTAGAAAAGAAATTATATATTCCCTTACTCTTAGTAGAAATTTAAAGTCAACAATGAAGACTCAGTAGTCAATATCATAGAATTCTTGTGAATCTATATTACATAATGAAGAAAATATTAAATCAGTAAGTTTTTTTTTTTTTTTAATAATTGATTATATACTTTTTCTGACTATACTTTAATTTAATTTACTATATTAATTTATTTATAGATTTTAAATTAAGAACCACAAATTTTTAGTTATAAAAATTCTGTAAAAAATATAATTAGTAATCATCAATTTTGAATTGATATAGAACAATTGTAAAATATTCTTGGTCTAGCAAAACAAGCTGTAAAAGATACAGAATTTAGAACTACCTTGTTAGCAGATACATTTGTTGAATTAATTAAATAATAATATCAATTCAGGAGACTTCTGTTTTATATAATAGTTAATTTCAATATGCTTATATTGCTATCTATAATAAATGATAAAATGAATTTGACATAGAATTATATCTCTTAGCTTTTTTTTTGCACCCAACTTATCATAGTATTTAAAAAAATTTTTAATTTAATATATGCATAATATACTTTTAAGTATGTATTTACTTTATTTTATTTTTTATAAAAGGTAATTTTCTTGAGCCTAGAATATATAAAAATTATGTTCTTAAAAAAGTATTAGAAATATGGAAAAAATTAGGTAGTGGTTGAATAAGTGCTGATCTCTTGAAAACTCAGATGAGTTTATATAAAAATCAAGAATTACCTTATGATGATGAATTTATTACATCTGCTAATATAGTTACTAATTGGTAGATATTCATAGACCTTAAAAAAAATAAAAATTATATAAAAACCTTGCTTTAAAATATATTTGGTTTTCCCTTATAATGCTACTTGTAAGTGAGTTTTTAGCATATTAAACTAGTATTTTGAAAAAAGGTAAACTAGATATGTTAATATTTTTCTCTTGTTTTAGTTTTACATTATTGCTACAAAAATTTTTTTTTTAGATTAAATATCGAATATCTGAAGGTTATAGCTTAGATGCATCATATCTAGTTGAGAATGCTAAATTAGAACTAAATTATGTAGATCAAAATCTTCATTAAGAAGATCTCTTATCAATTTTTAATCAAATAGCAAACTCTATAGAAGATGGTACTGACTTATTTAGTGAAGAAGATTCATTTTCTTTTCTAGAAAAACTTTCAGAAGAAGATTCAGAAGGGGTTTTGAAGGAACCAGATGATTTAGTTAATAAAAATTTGATAAATTTAAAAGTTAGAAACTTTATATCATTATTATCTAGATTAGAACCTAATGAATCTTCAAGTTTAAGTGAAGATGTTATACACAGAGATAAGGATTTTGATATAAATAAACTTATTGATAGTTTAGATTAATAATACATCATTTATATCAAAGTTAAGAAAATTTATATATAGCATACTTTTCTTTTTACATTTCATAAAGATATATATATACTTAGTAAGTAATCTTACTATACTTTTCAAACTACTAATATTATATCTTACAGGTAGCAATTGGTAAAAAATAAGAAATAAAATAGTAAATATGCAAATAAAATTAGTTTGAAAATAAATCATTGAATTTTACAAATAAATAAGTCTATTGCTTTTAGGTATATTGTTATTAATAGTGATAATAAGCAATATTTCTCAAAAAAATTATATTTATAAAATAAAACAGATAAAAAGAGGATTATCTAATCTGTTATCATCTAAGTCACTAGACCTAATAATGCTAATATTAAGTCATAATCTAATAAGTTTTGTAGTTATTGATTTGTGAATATAATATATATAATAAGTATAGTATAAACAAGACCTAGTATATTTGATAATTTAATAGACTTATAGTTTGTTTAGTAATTATATAAGTCTTATAGACCTATTAGATTTTATTAACTATATACTAATAAATTGTAATATTTATTTTTTTTGAGTACTTAAAATATATAAAAAAGTAAACTAATTATAATCTAATATTAATTATTTTTGTATTTTATAAGTAAACCTCTTCTTATAGGCTCAAGATCTTAAATAAGTAGAAACAAATATAAATATTGAGTTTGAGGAATAACTACATAGAATTTTTAATATAGTAATTATACTTACCAAGATAGCTTTGTCTTGAATTATTCATTTTTGAAGACTGTAAATCTAACTTTAAGAATTTAGAAAGCTTCTTATATTGTATATTATGATTTTTTAATACTCTGGCTTTTTTATTTTTAATATTTATACCTATTCCTGTATTAATATCTGAATCTGAATTACTAAATAGAGTGCCAAATTTTCTATTTGCTTAATTGATATTGCATGTATAAAGAAAACAACACTATAATAAATACCAGAAATAACTAGAAGATTATCATGAACTAAAATATTTGATCTAAAAGCTATAACTTGTCTCTGTTTTGCATGAATTATTAGCTTTAACTTAGGAAATACTAATTGCCTACTCTCAAATACTCTAAGTGAGCAGACAACACAGAGTGAATTAGAGTAGTCTTTTAGGTCCCTATAGAATTAGCAAATAACGTTAAAATTAATTGCTCTAGTAGGAAAAATACCAAACAGTTTAGGAATATTTAGTCCAAGATCAAGTTTTCTCATCTTTGTATATAAGGTTGAATATATATCTCTAATATAACTATTAACAGCATCAAATAATAGTTGAAGGCCTTGTATTAATCCTTGAATATATTTTAAATGATTCTTGTTATGAGATGAGGTAGTATTTAATGTTGTATAAGGCTTATTGTTATTGCCTATAAAAGCACTAAAATGCTCAACTAATTATTTTGAAAATTTTTTAGATTGGTAGGATAGATTATTAAACATGTGAATATAGTATTGTTCTACTACTTTTTTTGTATTTTTTACAATCTCAGAACTCTGAAAAATGTATAGATCTACTATTGTTTTTCCAAGAGCATTCTTAAAGCATTGTAGATCAAATATATAGTGATATTCTTTTATATTGATATCATCTTCTGACATCTTATCAGTCAATTCACTAGCAATAATTTGTTTTTCTTTTAAATTTTAACAAAGTGCCTCAGAGATTATTGATTGCTCTAGTGAAACTTTTTCTACTTTTATATACTGCTAATATGCATACTTTACCTTAGACTAGAGACACTAATAGTGATTATGAATCTGCTTGTCAATAGAAGGACTGATTATAACAAATGCCTACAAAGCAAATTGTTTTCATTCTAAATTAGAATTTTTATTTTTAGGTTTAGTGTGATTAAAAATTTCTGATTCTAGTAAATCAATAAATTTAGCAGGTATTTGAAAGGTAGTTAAAATAGGATAAATAATTTGAGTAGTTTGAAGTGGTAGTAATTTTTTTGAGTTGATACTGATATTATAATTATATAGTTTATTCCAAATATTTTCAAGATTAAAATTGGAAAGAGCATTATATTTAAAGGAAAAGGTGTTTTGTTTTATAGCATCTAATGGAAGCAATCCTCACTTTAATAAAATCTTAATAACTTGCTATTGCTGTCTTTTCTCAACAAATTTTTTAAAAAAGGTAATCTTTGGATCTATTAAAAAAATAGATTGCAAATTATTCGTTGACTTAAGATTACTTGCTGTGAAATCTTCAGATTTCTAGTAAGATAAAATATATTTACGTAATTTGCTTTTAGATTGATGAGTCTTGCTTTGAGTCTTGTACTAGAGAATATATATTCAAAAAATTAATAAATTGATATACAAAAAATACTTTATCGTGAATAATAATAAAATCTTCTCTGTGGATATATTCGAATCACTTTTAGTAGTATAGTTCAGAGGGTTTAAAACCTATGAAGTCTGCATCACCTTCTTCCTTACACATACTCACATCAAGGATAACGATTATGCTGAGATAAAGAAAAAATATAACTCTGACTAGAGAGGGAACAGACGGATCCTAGGCTTGCCTCAAAAGGCAATGACTACTCCTAAGAAGACTATACTATAAAAAAAAAACTAAATATAATAAAAGACAATTAACATACTTTTAGAGGATCATAGAAAATATTCTCTCTTTTATTAGCTTGGTTAACTATAATATTGGATATAGAATTGACCTCATTGATAATTGAACTATCAGGCTTTTCAATTTTTGCTTTTTTTGTAGTATACAAATCTTTTTTACGAAGATTTCTTTTAGAGGCCTTTGATAAGATAACAGGAGTATTTTGCAATAACATAATAACAAGTAAACAATTTTATAAAATATTTTTAAGAAAAAAAGCAAATTCAGAATGGAGCTTAGTATCAAAGGTAATCCTATTTATTAGCTCTATTCATTAGAGATTGTGATTTATTTTATTATTTAGCATATAACAATTTAACACGAAGCAATATAAATGACTTGGCATTACAATAATTCAATATATAAATAATTGTATGTTTACTAAATTCAGCACTATAATTATTGAACACGACTAATAATAATTGCTCATTACTTTGTTTACTTGCTACGTATAATAATTGCTAATAGATAATTACATATTTACTAAATTTGGCATCACAATTATTGAACACAACATTTTGTTATTTTGGTTATACAGGATACTTTAATAATTTGATATGTCATATTTGAACTGGATCTACAAATTTAGAATAACTGTTATGCAGTATTAACTCACTATAATAATATATGACGATTTTGTTGATGATCATTCTTATATTTGTTTGCATTCGATGATGTGTTTATTTATTAATTGGCTAATTGCGTACTCGTGATTAGCTATCTTTCCTTTTTAATTAGAAAGGAAAGGATTATTATAAAATAATTTTATATGTATTGGTTGCATTATATTATGTGATATTGCATTGATATTGCATATATTAATTCTTAATTTTTTTTGCCAAATTCAAGTTGTATTTATATTTTTAATGCTGTCATGTGAATTGGCTTTCTAATTCAAACAATCTACTTCAGTACTTTTAGTCGAGATGATTTAGGGTTAACCTGATATGTAGTGTTAGCTTTATTAACAAAACTTAAAGTGCTTATAATTTGATCTGCACGATAATAATATCTGTGTATAGAGTAGAGTTAGACATTATAATTTACGTTATTAATTAGATAGCTGCATGACGTGTTGTGTTAAAAAAAACAGAATAGATGAATTTATCTATCTATAAGGTAACTATGCATTATATAGTTGTACAAAAGCAAGAACGTTAGATATATTATTTATATAAAATTTTGAGTTTAAGAACTAATGCTGGCTAACTTTATTAAAAGTAAGTACGAACATCTATCGCTATCTATTTTCTATCTATCTATATCTTCTATGTAATTAAAATACAAATATGGCTTTGCTAAAATCATTGTACAACCTGGTTATACAACTATGATCGAATATAAAAAATTCGGTTATAACTTTTGAGGCTTGTAATTTTTTGTTGGGCTGAATATTATGCAAGATATTGTGTACTACTAGTAAATAAAAATCAATATTAGAAAGGGGCAGATTTGGCTACTGGATCTCTTATGACAAAATGTAATATAATGCTAAGACACAAGGCAACTCGAAAGAGACGTAGAAGATTTGGTCTGAGAACTAGAGATCTTACTGACACTAAGATCCTGGCTTTAAGAGGTGAGTATAAGGATAATTTATTAACGTTAATCAGTGGAATTAAAATCATAAACATAAATGCAATACTTATCTCAAAATACTTATTTATAATTAATTAATTACCTAACACCTTTCAAATCGTTTCATTCGAATTAATTTAATCGGTGAGTATAAAGATGATTTATTAATGTTAATCAGTGGAATTAACTTATTCGTAAATACTTATCTCTAAATACTTATTTACAATTAATTACCTAATACCTTCAAATAGTAGGTGAGTATAAAGATGATTTATTAACGTTATTCAGTAGAATTAAAATCATGAACATAAATGCTTATTCATAAATATTTATCTTCAAATACTTATTTACAATTAATTAATTACCTAATACCCTTCAAATCATTTCATTCAGTTAGTGAGTATGTATAAAGATGATTTATTAACGTTAAACAACGGAATTAAAATCACGAACATAAATATTTATTCATAAATACTTATCTCTACCTAATATCTTCAAATAGTGGGTGAGTATAAAGATGATTTATTAACATTAATCAGTGGAATTAGAATCATAAACATAAATGCTTATTCGTAAATACTTATTTATAATTAATTACCTAATACTTTCAAATAGTGGGTGAGTATGATTTATTAATGTTAATTAGTGGAATTAAAATCATGAACACAAATGCTTATTCATAAATACTTATCTCAAAATACCTATTTACAATTAATTAATTATCTAATACCCTTCAAATCGTTTCATTCGAATTAATTTAGTT